TTAACTCCCACAATCTGTTTGTTAATTCTCCCCTCTAGCTGCTACACATTTTCCCTGAAAACTGGTTATGAGAATTTGGTGCTCAATAAAGGTACCAACTTTTTGAGATACATTTAAGTATTCTCATTACCTGTTTGCTGGACAATGTATGGATATTATAGGGAGATGTTACACGGTTAAATCACTTCTGGAAGTTATAGGCTTAAAAGCATAAACAACGCATAAGTTACGCATAATGGCAGGATTGACGTCAATCCCCACAGTTGCAAAAGCAATTATTGTAAATTTTTATCCATTAAATGTATATTTTAATTTACGAAGTTCTTGTTAGTTTGCCTTGAAGACTTAAAAGTTTTTTTACTATGTTTATAAATGTTAATTTATGTAAATTTGTGGCATGTTTCCAGATGTACTTGGAGGTAAACCGCACCCAAGATTTGTTGCGAAAAAATTGGGGAAAATGGTCCAGCTTACATAATGGCAGTGTTTACAGTGCATTCTACAAAACTTTCGGGTGTTTATGGTTTTCTTAGTTTCACAGCAGTGGAAGATAAGAGTCTACATGTACTTGTTCAAGATTGCTTAATATGAAGCTATGACTTTTAAGTTTGAAACTAGCTGGTTTCCTATTTTAGTTAAGTGATCAATTCTCTAGGAAAATAGTTGCTGATGCGTCAGTTCCCTTTGATATGGGAAACCCAGCCATATTCATGCTAAAATTAGGTAGTCCTTTGTAAATATAGCCAGAAAATACCTTTCTTAAAAAGGTGGCTGAAACTAGTCAAAAGTGCTCATTTGGAAAAGGAACAGTTTCTGTTTATTAGGTGAATTAGCCAGTACTGAAGTAATGCAAATGACACTTAGCTTGAACAAGTCTTTTCTGATAGGAGCCTTCACTTTCAAATGTTGATGTGAAGTGACCTTTAATCTGCTAGTTATAGTTATAGTGTTAGTCATCCTTGAAGTGGTTGTTAGATGTTGCCTCATCACTTTTACTATGAATATTTTAATTTCGGTTCTAATTGTATTATTTAAACCACCATGATTATTGTAATGATGCAAAAAGCTGGGAAGTGATATGCTTCCAACATTTTTCAGAAAGTCTGAACTTCAGTCATAATTATATTTGAAGCTGAAGAAGTTAAGTCTTGTTGAACCCTGTTAAGCAACCTCTTTCCTCACTTAATTTCTCAAGAGATGGTTGTCATTTTTTATCCTAGAAATTTTGTGAATTTTTTTGTTTTCAGATTTTGGTGAAGGACGTACTGCTTAAGACTAAGATTTTTCCAAGTCATGCTTGTGTTACACAGGTGTCTCAAAGTTCTGTTTTCTCATGATGATGATGAGATAAATTACATTTATGTTTAAGTCAGCAACCCTAAGCAATCAGATTGTTTATTTGAGGCCAACTGTTGGGATCATAACAAATCTAGCCATTGCAATTTTACTTTTTGGTGAATTCATTTTTCACATCCTTTCTTATGAAAAGAAAGGATGTGAAAACACCTTTTTGATCAAATCCCATTGATGATTACATGATTGTTCAACTTTTTACCTTCAGGTGAAAGTCTGCAACAGAATGGGACTGCTACAAAAAAAGATCAAAACAAGTTACCTTTCGATCAACAATTGGGGCCAATGCAGGCACCCGACGATGACCTCAGTGCTTCCCCTGTTCAACAGGAGGAAGCTGGAGCTTAATAATGTGCAAGGCCATCATCAGAAAGTGCTCCTTGCTCAGACGGGACTCCAGCTACAACTGATCCAGATAGTAAGGACTTAGGCAAGACTTAAGAAATAGGAACTTCATTTGTGGAAGGGGGTTCTGCAGCAGATACCAACACACCTGACGGGGCTGAAACGGGTGAGAGACAAGGAGAGGACATTGCCTGAGAGGTAAAGCAGCTTAATTTAATTAACCTCAACCTTCAACTTTACTTTGACTCAGTTTTATACTTTGAAAGTTTTAATTCCTGTTATGATGTATTAATGTGTGACTTGAGTGAAAAAGAACTTTACATTATCAATTGAGTTTAAGTGTATCAGGGAGAATTGGCATGTGCTTAGTGACGTTTCATCACTGATGTCATAGTTAGTAGAGGGGTCAAACATTGAGTCATAGGCATGAAAGGTCTTCCATGCTTATTATGAGGTCTTTCAAAGAAGCTGAAGAGAGAAAGACATAGATCATAAAACATATTACAAAGAACTGCATTCTTCTATTGTTAGAGGAAAAAAAAGAAATGACCTTTGATGTTTAGTGGGAGGCCCCCCTCCCACTTACACGTGTAGCTACTGTCACTTCTTAACAACCGAGGGAAGTTGTATTTTACACTGTGTTTAAATAAACTTTAGCAAAAAGTGGAAAACAAAGGCGAAGGACAGGAGGATGAGGGAGGCACTTCTCAGCATCAATCCTCAATGTAAGTCTATTCTGAAAGGAATCCCCCTGAGATAAGTAGGTGAAGATATGAAAATACAGACGTAAATATTAAGTTCACATTTTGATTTTCTCAAGTCAGTATTTTTGTACCTTATACTGTGCTCTCCTTCTAGGAAGGCTGTGGGCACTATGTTATAGTTTCATGTAAGTCCATAAACCAAGGCCCTCACGGTTTTTTTTTAAATGGCAAACTATCGCGAGACATTGGTAACATTTCTTGTAACTCATCCTAGTTCAGTTCCAACACTGGCTTCCTTTGAAGTAAGCTGATCGGGTTTCTTCAGATTCGGTTTCATTTTCTTCATTTTCGGTTTTTTCAGCATCTAGTTACTGAGTTTCTCATATGTTTTAATACTGACAAACTTTTTTCTCAAAAATGGAGGTCATTTGGACCCTATTAGGTGGAAATTAGCCATGTGCTTGATAGCCACATGCTTGTGCTTCTCGCCGTAGTTAAGCCCTGTTGGTTGTGGTTACTACTTGGACCGTTCATAATGTACCGAGTTGCTGACTTTTTCGTTTCTGTATTTTTCGATTTCATTCCTGTAATTTTAGGAGTCACCATTATATTTATTATTTCTGCGTAAAACCAGAGTAAGTGTACATAACGACCAATGCATCCCTTGTTAACGCTTCACAGGCGTCTTGTTAATGTTCGTAAAAAGTAAAATAGTTGTGAGAAGTGAAAGCCCCGTGAAGTTAAACCTTCTTACAATGACGACGTTTTTATATTCACATATCAAGATATACATGGTTCGTTAACGGTGCTCTGTGAGGACAACATGTCGAAACAGGATAAGTTTTGCTTTTTCATAAACAGCATTATCGTCTTAGTCGGCCAAATAAGCATTAGTTTATCTCAAAGACACGCTGTTATGCGTAGAAGAATTTTAGGTGACAGTAGCAGAGATTTGATTAAAAGTTTTTATAACGAGCAATGTCAGTTTTATTTTCTCTAATCTTGTTTTTTTCATCAGACTTCCCGCGGAAGGTGTCGAAAGCCTTAACGATACATGTACGTCGATGAAATCTACCACTGAGAAGATTTGCTTAAGCTGGCCTTTGGCTGTTCCTATGTCAACGCCTAGGCAGCAAAGCAATACTTTTACAAGGAGCGAAGACCTTAGCTCAAGCAATAGAGAAATTCAAGGTAAGTTTTTCGTAAGTTATTACACCACAGCAAATTTATTGCAAAAAGAAGAACAAAGAACAGATGCGAAGATTTCTTAAAGTAACTGGGATTTTGGTACGACTCTGAGTCATTGAGATACGACCAGTTCTCAACAAGATGTAACTGATTAACTGCCAAAGGCTACCTAAAAGTACTATTTGGTTTTTTAATAATAAGAGCACTTCTTTAAAGCAATCACGACACTCTGCCTCAAAGTTAAATATACAGAAACATAACTGAGGATTATTTCAAAATGGAGACCGCAATAAGAAACCTATGTGGTGATGCTCTATGATATATTCAAAATCTTTAATTTGGAAGTGAGATTGGAATGTTGTTTTTCCATATTATCAACTTGACTAAAAACAGAATAGGATAAACGGTAGAACAGAGTTCAATATTTTAAGAGCGACATAATTGCCTTATTTATTTTTGTACTACCTTACTACAAATCTAATTTTCGACGGATATGTCATCTATTTTTTTCGCTCCCCGCCATGTGTTGCACGTACTCGAATTTTGCTCGCAATATTTTGTTATCAATGCAATTCTATCCGTTCTAGGGAGATGTTTAAGAACAAGTCTGTAAGAATCAAACATCTTGGGAAATGAAAATTTTCAACCGCTTTCAAATTTTGCATGCCGTTTGGCACTCAGGGGGATGCACAAAAATGCCCTTATTAAAGGTTACTGCACTCTTGTTACCATGGTAACAACCACTGCTCGTTCGAAGCCTTGGGCCTCATTTTCATACAAAAACATCTCAAAAAAAGAGTAAATGTTTATTTATCCGTCTCAAGCTAAATATAACATTTCAGATTGGCACTTCTACCATAATAATAATAACAATCTTATATTAGGAAGCTCCATCCCAATAGTGGTTTACATAGAGGTCCTAAATACTAGATGTGCATTATATAAAAATACAATTAAAATATAAAAATTTGCGCTAAAATCGAAATATAAAAATGATTACAACATATACATTGCAAAGATTAATTAAAAAAAA